TCTTGTGGCCCATCACGAACCCAGGAAGGAAATTAAGAGGGAAAGGCTGCCCCCTAGCTGCCCCCAAAAGGAGAAGAGACTCTCAGGTTCGATCGCCAGAGAGCGCTTGCTTATAGCAGCCAGCTGCTCCGGCTCGGTCACCACTGCCCAGGGCAGCCCTGCTCCGCATCTCATGACCTGAAGACAAACCCCAGTCAAGGGTCAGTCATCTCCTGTACATTTTCCAAACCTAGGTCTGGGTTCAGGAACCAGGTATTGAATTCGCCCTGGAAGCTGTTCATCTAGTGCCATCCAGAGACCAAACGTTGTCTTTGATATAGCGGTGGGGGATAGAGGGGATGGGAGGATGACGAGTAAGATGAAAAGGGGTGGGGGGAGGGTTTTTATATCGCTTGGGGTGAGTATCCAGTTAACCAGTTGTCATCAAGTCAATTCCAACTCACAGCTACCCGTGTCTGTCAGAGTAGAATTGTGCTGCATAGGGTTTCAATGGCTGATTTTTCAGAAGTAGATCTGGGTAAACGTGAATCTCCAACCCTTCATTAGCAGTGGAGTGCATTAACCATTTGTGCCACCCAGGGATTCCACACACTACTAATTCATTATGGATAATAACTCCATAGTGTCCTTCATTTTACATTTAATAGAAAATGAGTAGCTACGCATGAGTAGCTACTGGAGTAAAAGCAACGACCTAACATTAAAGCAGCTAATCAGAAGCGGTGGACTTGATTCTCTCCCTTTGATCCCCAAATGGTGAACCCTCTTTATTTCATCTGTCTGCTGAGTGGCTCTTCCCACCTAGAAATAAGTGAAGGAAGGACCTTGTTCCACTTTAGGGGGCCTAAAAAAGGAGGCATATTAGATGGAAGGCTCTGGAGCATGATAAACAAGCTTCCCCAAGGACCAGCTTGCCTCTTCAGTAAACTCCCTCCCCTGCAGGGACTTAGCTTGGAGAAGACAAGAGGAGAGAGTCCATGTTTTCCCAGAAGCAAGTTAACTCTACAGAATCTAGCACAGTGTTAAAAAGTCCAGGTTCCTTGTACCCAAAACCCCCAAAACAAACAAAAACAACAAGCCTCGGAGCTTTAATCAGCGCCTGGCCTCAGTGAATAATCGTTGCTGAATCCCTGGTTACCTGCCCACCTGGGTAAACTAACTGCTCACATTTTTAAAGGCATGCTGCCCTCCAGTGGCACAAGATAATTTGCTCCATAACTGGCTCCCTAAGAATCCTACCAAACTACAACTTGGGTTTGCCTGTGACCTGGGGAGGGCGTGGAGGTGCCACATGTGCACAGCCCGTAGGAGTCTGGGGTGATCACTAAGAGGGAAAGGACTCTAAAGTGCGGGAGCGTGCAATACAAGGCGAAGGTGATCTACTTCGAAACTACAGCTCACTCGTCCCTGCAGGGCCTCTTAGGGCAGTGATTCGTGCTTCCCCCCACCCCTTTTAGGTTGAAATTTGGATAAGTTAAAGTGTGTTTGAGCGGAAATTAACTTGTGAAGCGATACTTTCAGGAGAGATACGGAAACACTTGCTGCGTGGTTAGCCCAGCGTGCAAGGGAAAACGAAGAGGCCGGAGGTGGCCTGCACCCTGACAGGGTTGGCAGTTGTGAGGAAGGACATAGACTTAGGTGTATGCGGCCTGTTTGCCAACCGTGGGTTCACTAAATGCCTCCTGGGGAAATAGCAGCAGCCAATATTGCAGGCTTACCACATGTCAGGCGCTGTGCAAGTGTCCCGCAGGGGTCTTCCTGTTAATCTTCCCAATCACCCTTTTTAACGGGTGCTGGTACGAGTTGGAATCGACTCGACGGCAGTGGGTATAGGAATATCATCCCACTCTGAGGATGAGAAAACCAAGGCTCAGAGAGGCAACTCGACTTGCCCGTGACCGCCCGGGAGTCCAGGCCAGTCCAGACGAGAGCTGGAGCTCGCACCGCTGCGATCGGACAAGGGGTCCGCTAAGGTCCGCGGCTCGGCAGGCAAAAGCCCCCGGCAGCTTCGGTGCCCGTGAGGGGGCGAGCGCGAAAGGGTGGTGGGAGTCTGGGCTGCTCACCTTCACGATGAGCGGATTCTGATACATGGAATCCCTCACGACCCCCAGCCTCTCGTTCTCCATGCCGGGCCGAATATCTGCCACGGTCAGGGGTCGCCGCGGAGGCGGGCAGATCTGGCTGACCGTGCGGCGCGCCGGCTGCTTCTTTTTCTTCCATTGCGTGATTTCCCTGCAGGCGGCTGCGGCCTCTGGCATCCTGGGGGTCGCCGGGGAGTCGGTCGGCGGGCTGAGTCCCGCGCGCTTGCTCCTCGGGCGCCACCGCGTGTCCCGGGCCGCGCCACCTGGACCCCGGGGTGGGCGACGGGCGCCGGGTCCGGTTCGGAGCCGGGAACACCTACCCCGCACTGCCCCCTTGTTACAAGGAGCTCTGAAACACGACATGAGCCCCTTCGGCTTCTGAGAGCGGCTTCTGGGCCCTGCGCTGAGAACTGAGAAAAGAGACAAAATCAAGGCCACCCCTCGAGGAAGGATGGAATGGTCCGTCTCCGTGACAACGGGACGCCAACGGTGCCCGGGTTGTGCCAGTCGTCTTCCTTCATGAACTTACTGGTGGCTACAATTGTAAGCCTACTTAGAGTATTTTTAAATAAACCCGTTGCCGTCGAGTCGATTCCGACTCATAGCGACCCTATAGGACAGAGTAGAACTGCCCCCATAGGATTTCCAAGGAGCCCCTAGTGGATTCGAACTGCAAAATAGACATGGGAAAAAAACCACGAATCACCACTGGGTTGTGTTAAATCGACGGAGCTCTGGAGGGTCATTTACACTTGACATTCGAGTAAAAGATACCCTTCCTTCTCTCCTTTTCACCCTACTCCTCGCTTCTCCCCACCTCTGCTCCGCCCATCCCCTCACTCTCCACCGTACACACCCAGGATATAGTACGAAAGTTTTCATGATGAAATAGAAGACTGCATTCCAGGCCTGATGTTGCCACTAGTCCTACTGAATGATCTTGGACTAGTCACCCTCTTGAGCCTCAGTTTTTTCTTCTGTGAAATGAGTAGGAAGGGAAGTCTAGAGTTCGGTCGATGGTTTCCAAGTTTGTGCAACACGATGGGAGGAGGGGAAGGGTTTGAAAAACACAGAATCACAGGACGCACCCTAGACTCATTGAATCAGAATATCTGAAAATGGGATCTAAAAATCTGCATTTTAAAAATTCCCTTTCCTCCCAAGGGGCCCTGGTGGCGCAGTGGTTAAGCGTTTGGCTGCTAACCAAATGGTCGGCAGTTTGAATTCACCAGCCGCTCTTTGGAAACGTTATGGGGCAGTTCTACTCTATCCTATCGGGTCGCTGTGAGTCAGAATCGACTTAATGACAATGAGTTTGGTTTGGCTTTTGGTTTTCCCCTCAAACTTTTACTTTGAAGAAGTTCAAACCTACAGAAAAGTTGAAAGAGTAAACGAAAATTCATAGTAGATTTCACTTAAATCCACCAATCCTTAACACTTGCCACCTTTGCTTTGTCTCTGAATTGTCTCTTAAATTGCTGAATCATTTGAAAATATCGGCAGACAATATCATATTTGACTCTAAATACTTCAGCATGTACCTACCAAGAACAAGGACATTCTTGTACTTAACTACAATGTCATCATCACATTCAAGTGTTTTAAGGTGATACAATAAATAGTGTCTAATATGCAGCCCATATGCAAAGTTGGGAATCTGCATTTTTAAAAAAGCTTCCCAGGTGATTGGCGTAGTGTTTTTGGAACAACTAGACTGGATGATCTCCAAGCTTCCTTCTGGTTCCAGTCTTTTACAGGTTCATACATCCAGCATTATCATCTTCATTACATGTGCAAATATCCACTTACATAAGGCTCTGGGTTTGTGGGTTCACCACAGAGCAAGCTGCACCAAAGCCAAACCTGAACTTCCAGTCCTTACGTATCAAAAGTGGACAACACCCACACCACATTTAGAGACTAGACTGAAAATAGAGCTTCCCATTGCTAATCCAAGGCATGGAGCAGCTCTTGTGTGGTGATGCGTTTGCTCATGGCTTCTCCAGCATGCTTCACTTCCAGACTTGCACAGAAGTACAGGTTGTGCACTTTTTAATCAAAGCCACTTGGCAACTCACATAGATGAAGTCAAGCTGGTGCAGCAAGGGGCAGGATAGCAGAGTAGTAGAAAGGGCACGGGTTTGACTCCTGGTTGGGCCATGTAAGTCACCTTAGAAATGTTACTGTAAACCTCAGTTTTCTCATCCAAAAAATGAAGATAATAATATCTTAAAAAAAAAAAAAAAACAGAAAACCAACACCCTGCAACAGAGGATGAATAAGAAAACTCATATTAAATAGATTGATTCCCTTCTCTTATTGCCTATATGGTTATGTCGCTTCTCAGAGAGCCTTCCCTTCCATCTAAAGTAGCACCCACTGTCCCCAGTCACGCTCCATCACTTTACCCTGTTTTATTTCCCTTACAGGATAATCCCAAATTATCTTGGTTAATTTGTTATCTGTCTTCCTCACGTTAAGGACCTCATCATATTGTTCACTCCTGGACTATAGAAGGAGTTCAGCAAAGATTTATTGAATAAACTGAATGCATGCATGAATTAGTAACGCAACGGAACTATCCCACCCCACCACAACCACCCTAGAAACAAAATAGGCAAGTAACTGCGCATGCGTCATGGTGGTAGCCCAGAGTGGCCGCCGTGTTACTAGGGCAGCGTGACGCCAAGGGGCGGCAGCGACGCACGACTGCTTCCGCTTCCACCATGGCAGTGCTTCCGGGTTGGAAGAAAGATGGCGATGGCTTTGGGCGGTAGGTTGGAGGCGCTTTTATTAACTCTTTCGGTGAAAAAAGAAATGCGCGTTGTAGATCGAGTAGTGGGTGGTAATTGTCTTCATCTTCCCGGCACCCGCCCTTGGCCGGAGGTCTCCAGGGTTGGGATTGGCGCCTTTGTCTCCTCAGCTGCCACTCCAGGCCTGCACACATGGGAACTGAGACTTGGGTCTTTGGGAATAATAGGATCTAGAGTCGGACATTTGGTTAGGTCCTCCCGAACTGCACATCCCAGAATAGGGCAGGCTTTCTGTCGTCCCCTAAAGGTTGTGAGAGAATCCGAGACCAGGTTTGGGCACGTGCTCTGCAGGGCGAAAGTGGTATGTTCCGAATAAGTAGGGATAAATGTTTATCGTTCTCTGTGTGTTGAGCGCTGTACTAGTCTCTGGGGGATTCGCTGCGGGCAAGACAGACGTGATCCCTGCCCTTAAGGAGGTCAGTTATACCGTAAATGCAATGGGAAAGAAGGTAGATTGCTGGGAAACACTGTAACAGGGAGACATGACCCAAGTTCAGACAGCAGAGAAGACCTTCTTGAGGAAGTGATTTTCAAACTTAGACCAGTTAAAGCGCAGGAAGGTGAGTGGAGGAAGAGCATTTCTGGCATTTCTGCTTTTGCAGTTCCTGAAATGAAAAACAACATATTGTATTATAGGAACTGAAAGAAGACATGGTGGCCAAAACTCAGAGAGAAATGAGAGGTGGAAAGGTAGGCACGGACCAGACTCCATCATGAAGGACCTTGTAGGTCTGTAAGGATTTTGGATTTTATCTTAAGAATAACAGGGGAGGCATAAAAAGTTTTTAGTGGAGAGTGATTACCTGATTTATATGTTTAAAAAGTTGTCCTGGGCTCAAGAGATTAGAGGGAAAAGCTTGAGAGGTGTTTTAAAAAGAAAAAGGAACTGATGGAAGGTAAAAGAATATTTAAAGGAGTCGTCAGCTCTGCTCATTGCTATTTAGAAGCCCTGAAGATGGGCCTGAAAAGGGGCTATTGAATTTAATGGCTTGACCCGAGCAATCTCTGAGAAAGTAGTGGAGGTGGAAGCTACAAGGAAGTAGGATAAGAAGTGGATGGAAGGTGAAGAATAGAAAGAGCAGTTTTTCTTTTAAGAAATTTTGTGAAGGAGAGAAAAGAGAATAGCCACATGGTTACCTTAAGGTTGAGGTGGTTGCATTTTTTTTTTTTTTTTGAGTTAGAAAAAACTAAAGATTGTTGAAGTGTTGGTAGAAGGGAACCAGTGCAGAGGGGAGAGCCTGAGATGGAGTACCTGATGGATCACGACCTCCCTGAGAAGGCAGGAGGAGGTTGGAATCCAACACACACACTGAGGAAATGGCCTTTGACAGGAGAAGGGACACTTCTTTTGTTGTGGCAAGAGGGAAAGAGAGGACGGAGAGATGCAGGCAGTTGTATTAGATTTGGAAGTTAACATATTTCTTGTCTAATGTGTGTAAGAATGTGAAGTAGTGGATGAGTTTATCTGCTCCAGTGAGAGAGAAGAGAGGAATTTAGAAGTTGAGAGTGGAGAAGGTTTGAAATAATTATTTCAAGAAGAATGGGAGACTACTACAATAAATAGATATATAAATAGAAAATATTGTTTTAATGCAATTGATCACTAGGGTGGCTTTGACGGGTAAACAGATCAGCTGGGGAGCTTGATAAAAGGCAGATTTTGATTCTGTAGGGTCTGGATGGGGTCCTTTTTGCATTTCTAGCAAACTCCCAGTTGATGCAGATGCTGCTGGTCTGGAGACCCCACTTTAAAAAAGAAGAGTGGGAGAGTGAGCTGTTTCGAGCGGCATGCATGGTCCAAGAAACAGAATGCAAGCCACAGGTGTAATTTAAAATTTACTAGTAGCCACATTAAAACACAGGTGGAATTAATGATGTATTTTATTTAACCCACTATCCAAACAATTATTTCAACATGAAATTAATGTACAATATTACTAATGAGGTATTTTACCTTCTTTGTTCTAAGTTTTCAAAATCTTGTATATATTTTACACATAAAGCACATCTTAATTCAGACTGGCCACATTTCAAGTGCTCAGTAGCCACATGTGGCTAGTGACTGCCATATTGAACAGTACAGATTTAGAGACACATAGTTTGATTGCTGGGTTGTGTTCAGGTCCCAGGTGTATTTCGGAACCACGTGTTTACAGGGGTGTCCATCTGCCCAGTTGTAAGTTTTTTTTATTCGTTCAAAAAGTATTTACAATGTTGAACTCCTCCTAGGAGCCAGGCATTATGCTAGATACTAAGGCTTCATTAATGAATAAGACTGAGAAAGTCCCCATTTTTATGCAACCCAATTATTGGATTCAGCCAGGATTGAGGTTTTGTCTGGCTATACAATGAAAGCACAGAGAGGTAGGGATTTAAAATGTTGAGACAGGTAGTCAGTGTGATGAACCGTAGAGTCTAAGATGAATAAGGAAGGAAGTGAACACAGCAGGATACCGATAGATAGTGAGGGACAAGATGGGTGAGCTGGTAGGTCCTGATATGAGTGAAGAACACCAGAGAAGCTGCACAGGCAGGTCAGAGAGATAGGAAGTGGTGTGGAATGTTTTCATTAAGAGTTACGGAGTCAGAGGTGAGGACAGGATAGAAGTAGGTGGCAGATCTGGAGTGAAGGAGAAGGTGGTCGGATATGAGGAGGTCCGAGGATTAGATCCCAGTGGACACTGAAGTCAATGAAAATGAGATGACTTTTAAAAAGCATTTTTTAAAAAAGATCCAATTGGTTCTCTAGTTTGCAGATGTAGCTTTTGAACCTCATACAAGTTGAATAAGAAACCCAAAGCAACAAACCTAGGAGCTACAACCTGGGAAAAGCAACTAAAAGGTAAGATTCTTCTTTTCTAGGACAATTGTTAAATGTACCACCTGCCAGAAAGAAGAGTGGGAGAGTGAGCTCTTTAGAGCAGCATGCACAGTCCAAAGAAACAGAATGCAAGCCACATGTGTAGTTTAAAATTTATTAGTAGCCACGTTACAACACATTAAAAGGACAGGTGGGACAGGGAACACAACAGAGAGTCCCTGACGGAGCAGGAGAAGAATGAGGTGTGGAACTCAAATTCTAGTAAACAGACCAAACTTAATGGTTTGATTGAGACTGGAGGGACCCCGGAAGACATGGCCCCTGGACTCCCTGTTAGCACAAAACTAAAACCATTCCTGAGGCCAACTCTTCAGATAAAGATTAGACTGGACTATGGGACATAAATGGTACTTGTGAAGAGTGTGCTTCTTAGCTGAAGTAGATACACGAGACTAAATGGGCAGCTCCTATCCAGAGGTGAGATGAGAAGGCAGAGAAGGTCAGGAGCTGGTTGAATGGACACAGAAAATCCAGGGTCGAAAGGAGGACTGTGCTGTCACAGGATAGGGAGAGCAACTAGGATCACATAACAATGTATGTATAAATTTTTGTATGAGAGAAAAACTTAAATTGTAAACTTTCACTTAAAGTACAACAACAAAAAAAAGAACAGGTGGAATTAGTAATGTATTTTATTTAACCCACTATGCAAACTTTTATTTCAGCATGAAATTAATATACAAATATCACTAATGGGATATTTTACCTTCTTTATTCTAAGTTTTCAAAATCTGGTATGTATTTTAAACTTAGAACACATCTTAATTTGGACTGGCCACATTTCAAGGACTCATTAGCCACATGTAGCTAGTGACTACTAAATTGAACAGTACAGATCTTGGAGAAATACTGTGGTCCAAATGGAAAATCAGAGAAATAGAGCTTTAGAATAGGCAGGAACTTCAGAAATTATGAACTCCCTGAAACTGGACAGTATGCAGAGAAGGTCCTTTGTTTTTATCACATTCTTCAAGGGTTCTCAGTCTAAAAGAGACTCTTTGATCTAAAGCTGAGGTCAGCAAACTGTGGCCAGCGATCTGTTTTTGTAAATAAAGTTTTACTGGAATGTAGCCGTGCTCGGTTGTTTACATATTGCCAGTGGTTGCTTTCGCACTACAACATTAGAGCTGAGTAGTTGTGACAGCGATGTATGATTCACAAAGCCTAAAATTTTACTGTCTGGCCCTTTACATAAAAAGTTTACCAAGCCCTGGGCTAGAACTGTGGTTATCAAAGTGTGGTCCCAGGCAGAACAGCCTCAGCATCATCTGGGAATCTACTAAAAATGTAAGTTCTCAGGTCCCACCCCATACTGCCAAGTAAGAAACTCAAGGCAGGGCCCAGCAATCTTAAACAAGCACTCGGTTGATTTTGGTAAACACTAAATTTTGAGATCGAGAACTAACCACACTCCCCACCCCACCCTCAAAAGCTGGTTAGCATCTGAAACAGGATAAAAGAATTGTAGCCTGTTCCTTGGAAACATTTTGACAACAAGGAGAAAGACCATAAGAGTGCCAGGCATGATCAAAGAGACTATCAGAAAATAAATAGAAAGTGATCTCCTTTTACTCAGCCATTTGGAGTGCCATAAACAAATCTGACGGGGTGGGGGGCAGTACTTGAGCATCAACCAGTCAGCAAGGAAGGTTTAGAGAAGAATAAATGGAATGATCAAGCAGATGAAAGGGGTAAAGGGGAACTGGCAGCTAATAAGTCTCCAGTCTGGATGCCAGAGGCCATATGGCCCAGTACCAGAAGTAGGGGTGGCTGGCACTCTGGAGCTTGACTGATGATGATTATGGCAGCAGCAGCAGCTACCATTTATTGCTATGTACGTGCTAAATGCTTTACTTATATGTGTTTAGGATTTTATATTAGAAAATTGATAGAGAAATACTCAGGTTTGTCACGCATAAATTCATTTAGTTTATTGCGAGGTAGTCGTGGCATCCCATGCAAGTAAGACCTCACAATATTCATTTAGAACCAGAGAATCAGAATTAACAATTATAATTACAGTGTTAGTTCAGTGGTTCAAGTCCAAATCTTTAGACTTCAGGATTTTACCTTTAACAAGAGGTCTCGGGAGGAAGGCTTAACCATGGCTAGAACTCAATAGAAGTTTCTCGTAGCTAGGATCCAAGGTCAGCAGCAGCAAGCAGAGTCTCAGCAGGCTCTCGGTGTTTGCCTCTGCCTTCTTTCAGTAAGTGAGCAAAATTTAGGGTTTAAATGTGAATTTGTCACCTTGGCTCCACGTGGCAAGGGCCAGTGTGATATCAAAGACTGCTGTGTTGGCTGGCAATAGAGAGAATTGGTAAAACCAGAAGTTGGTTATTTGAAAAGATCAATAAAATTAACAAACCTTTAGGCAGACTGACAAAGAAAAAAAGAGAAAAGATGCAAAATAAGAAATGAAAGAGTGGACGTTACATCTACATTACAACTGACCTGATAGAAATAAAGAGAATTATAACAATATTATGAACAACTCTATGGTAACAAACAGGATGACAAATAAAATGGACAAATTCTTAGAAACACACAACCCACCCAAACTGACTTGAGGAAGTAGTCTCAACAGACCCATAACAAGGGAAGAGATTGAATCAGTGATCAAAAACCTCTGAACAAAAAAAGTCCTGCACCAGATGGCTTCACGGGAGAATTCTACTAAACATTTAGAGAAGAGTTGACACCGATAATGTTTAAATTTTTCCAAAAGATAGAGAAGGAGGGAATACTCCCTAATTCATTCTTCGAAGCAAACCTAACCCTGATACCAAAACCAGACAAAGACACCACAAGAAAAGAAATTTGTAGGCCAGTATCTCTAAGAGTATAGATGCAAAAATCCTCAATAAAATACTAGTGAACAGAATCCAATAACATATTAAAAGAGTCATATACCATGACCAAGTGGGATTTATTCCAGGAATGCAGGGATGATTCAACAATAGAAAATCAACATAATACACCACATCAATAGAACAAAGAAAAACAACCACGTGATCATCTCTATTGATGTAGAAAAAGCATTTGATAAAATCCAACACCCTTTCTTGATGAAGACCCCAAAGAAGATTGGAATAATGGAAAAACTAATCATTAACTTTATATGGAAAAGAGGATAAGTAAAGCATTATTGAAGATGAAGAACAAAGTAGGAGGCCTCGCAGTACCTGACCTCAGAACCTGCTATACAGCTGTGGTAGTCAGAACAGCCTGATACTGGTACGACGACAGACACGTTGACTGATGGAACACAATTGAGAACCCAGATGTTAACCCATCCACCTGTTCACCTGATCTTTGACAAAGGCCCAAAGTTCATTAAATGGGGAAAAGACTGTCTTTTTAACAAATGGTGCTGACAAAACTGGATGTCCATCTGTAAAAAAAAAAAAATGAAAGAGGACCCATACCTCACACCATACACAGAAACTAATTCAAAACGGATCAAAGACCTAAATATAAAACAAAAAACTATAAAGATTATGGAAGAAAAAGTAGAGTCAATGCTAGGGACCCTATTATATGGCCTAAATAGAATACAAATCATAACTAACAGTATACAAACACCAAAAGATAAGCTAGATAACTGGGATCTTCTAAAATGTAAACACTTAAGCTCATCAAAAGACGTCACCAAAAGAGTAAAAGAGAATCTGCAGACTGGGAAAAAAATTTTGGCTATGACATATCCAACAAAGGTCTAATCTCTAAAATCTATAAGAAAATCCAACACCTCTACAACAAAAAGACAAATTTAATCCAGTTAAAAAATGGGCAAAGGATATGAGCAGACACTTCACCAAAGAAGACATTCAGGCGGCTAACAGACACATGTGGAAATGCTCACAATCAGCCATTAAAGAAATGCAAATCTACAGTGAGATACCATCTCACCCCAATATACTGGCACTGATCAAAAAAACAGAAATTAACAAATGTTGGAGAGGCTGCTGGTTGGAATGCAAAATGGTACAACCATTTTGGAAAACGATATGACGCTTCCTTAAAAAGCTAGAAATAGAAATACCATATGATCCAGCATTCCCACTCCTAGGAATATATCCTAGAGAAATAAGAGCCATCACACAAATAGTATGAACACCCATGTTCATTGCAGCATTATTCACGGTAGCAAAAAGATGGAAGCAACTTACATGCCCATCAACAGACGAATGGATAAACAAACTATGGTACATACACACAATGGAATACTACACAACGATAAAGAACGGTGATCAATCTGTGAAACATCTCACAACATGGATGAATCTGGAGGGCGTTATGCTCAGTGAAATAATCACAAAAGGTCAAATACTGTATGAGACTACTATTATAAAAACTCATGAAAAGGTTTACACACAGAAACAACCTTTGATGGTTACAAGGGAGGGGAGCAGAAGAGTAGAAAGGGAAAAACACTAACTAGACAATGGATAAGTGGTAGCTTTGGTGAAGGGTAAGACAGTACACCAGTACTGGGGAAGTCGGCACAGCTTGACCAAGGCAAAGTCATAGAAGCTTCATAGACACATCCAGACTCTCTGAGGGACTGTGTTACTGGGCTGAGGGCTGGGGACCATGGTCTCGGGACATCTACCTCAATTGGCATGACGTAGTTTATAAAGAAAATGTTCTACATCCTACTTTGGTGGGTAGCATGTGGGGTCTTAAAAGCTTGTGAGTGGCCATCTAAGATACATCTATTAGTCCCACCCCTTCTGGAGCAATGGAGAATGAAGAAAACCAAAGACACAAGGGAAAGATTAATCCAAAGGACTAATGAACCACAACTATCACAGCCTCTACCAGACTTGAGTCCAGCACAACTATATGGTGCTGGGCCACCACCAGCAATGGCTCTGACAGGGATCACAATAGACAGAATGGGAAGAAAATGTAGAACAAAATTCAAACTTACAAAAAAAGACCAGACTTACCAGTCTGACAGAGACTGGAGAAACCCTGAGAGTATGACCCCTGTACACCCCTTGAGCTCAGTTGTGAAGTCACTCCTGATGTTCACCCCTCAGCCAAAGATTAGATAGGCCTGTAAAACAGACAATAACACACATAGTTCAGCCATGTATACAAGACTAAATGGGCACACCAGCCGAAAAGCAAAGATGAGAAGGCAGGTAGGGACAGGAAAGCTGGACAAATGGAAATGGGGAAGCCAAGGTCAAGAAGGGGAGAGTGTTGACACACTGAGGGGTTGGCAACCAATGTCACAAAGCAAAATGTGTATTAATTGTTTAATGAGAAACTAATTTGCTTTGTAAACTTTCACCTAAAGCACAATAAAAAAAAGAAAAAGATTGTAATAGAAGGGAAATTCCTCAATATGATTCAGGGTGTATATGAAAAGCCAACAGCCAACATTATACTTTATGGAGAAAGACTGAGAGCTTTCCCCTTGAAATTGGGAACAAGACAAGGGTGCCCGCTCTCACCACTTCTATTCAATATTGTTTTAGAAGTCCTAGCCAGAACAGTAAGAAAAAGAAGTAAAAGGTATCCAGTTTGGAAAAAAAGTAAAATTATCTCTATTCGCCGATGATGTAATTCTACATAGAGAAAATCCAGAAGAGTCCACAAGAAAACTTGTAGAACTAATAGAGGAATTGAGCAAAGTTGCAGGGTACAAGGTCAGCAAACAAAAATCAGTTGGGTTTCTATACACCAGCAATGAGAAATGTGAAAGGGAAATTAGTGAAACAATTCCGTTTACAATAGCATCTAAGAGAATAAAATACTTAGGAATAAATCTAACCAGGGATGTGAAGGACTTATACAATGAAAACAATAAAGCCTTGCTGAAAGAGATTATAGAAGACTTAAATAAATGGGATGATGTTCCATGTTCATGGGTTGGAAGACTTAATATTTTTAAGATGTCAGTTCTGCCCAAAGCGATCTATAGATTCAACACAATCACAATCAAAATTCCAACAGTCATCTTTACAGAAATAGAAAAACCAATCCTCGACTTTATATGGAATGGCAAGAGGCTCCAAATAGCTAAAGCAATGTTGAAAACAGAAGAAAAAAGTAGGAAGACTCACACTTCCTGTCTTAGTCATCTAGGGCTGCTATAACAGAAATAACCACAAGTGTATGCTTCAACAAACAGAAGTTTATTCTCTCACAGTCTAGTAGGCTAGAAGTCCAAATTCAGGGTGTCAGCTCCAGGGGAAGGCTTGCTTTCTCTGTCGGCTCTGGAGGAAGGTCCTTGTCATCAATCTTCCCCTTGACTAGGAGCTTCTCAGTGTAGGGACGCTAGGTCCAAAGGACGTGCTCTGCTCTAGCACTGCTTTCTTGGTGATAATGAAGTCCCCCTGACTCTGCTCGCTTCTGTCATATTTCAAGAGTTTGGCTTAAGACACAGCCTAATCTTGTAGATCGAATCCTGCCGAATTAACATAACTGCCTCTAATCCTGCCTCATTAACATCATAGAGGGAGGATTTACAACACAAAGGAAAATCACATCAGATGACAAAATGGACAATCACACAATACTGGGAATCATGGACTAGCCAAGTTGATACACATTTTTGGGGGACACAATTCAATCCATAACATTTCCTGATTTGAAAACATACTATACAGCCCTGGTGGCGTAGTGGTTAAGAGCTTGGCTGCTAACCAAAATGTCAGCAGTTCAAATCCACCAGTTGCTCCTTGGGAACTCTATGGGGCAGTTCTACTCTATGAGTCGGAATTGACTCGGCGGCAACAAGTTTTGGTTATACAGCCACAGAAATCAAAACAGCCTGGTATTGGTATAACAATAGACACATAGACCAATGGAATACAACTGAGAGTCCAGAAGTAACCCACATATCTATGGCCAGGGGTGCCAGGTTCATTCGATGGGGAAAGAAGAGTCTCTTCAATAAATGGTGCTGGGAAAATTGGATTTCCACATGCAGAAAAATGAAACAGGATCCATGCCTCACACCATACACAAAAACAAATTCAGAATGGATTAAAGACCTAAATTCACAAACTAAAACAAAAAAATTTTTGGAAGAAAAACAAGGGAAAACGATGTCAGGCCTAGCTTTTAACAGTGGGTTATCTAGTATAATAACAAAAGCACAAACAGCAAAAGACAAAATAAATAAATGAGACCTCATAAAAATTAAAAACTTTTGTTCATGAAAGGACTTTACCAAAAAAGTGAAAAGACAAGCTACCAACTGGGAGAATATCTTCTGAAGCCATATATCCAACAAAAATCTAATAACCAAAATGTATGTAAAACTTTGACAACTTAACAACAAAGAGATAACCCAGTCATAAAATGGGCAAAGGACTTGAATAGACATTTCACCAAAGAGGACATTCAGATGGCTACCAAACACATGAAAAGATGCTCAGCGTCATTAACCATCAGAGAGATGCAAATCAAAACCACAAGGAGATACCATTTCACTCCTGCTAGGATGGCTAAGATTTAAAAAAAAAAAAACAAAAACAAAATAACAAACATTGGAGAAATTGGAGCTCTTATCCATTGCTGGTGGGAATGCAAAATGGTACAGCCATTATGGGAAACAGTGTGGTAGTTCATAGAAAAACTAAAAATAGAGCTACCATATGGTCCAGCAATTCCACTCCTAGATATATACCCAAAAGACTTGAAAGCAGAGAGTCAGAGATATGTACACCAATGTTCATTGCAGTACTTATTCACAACAACCAAAAGGTAGAAATAACCTAAATGCCCATCAGCAGGTTAATGGATAAACAAAATGTGGTACATACATACAATGGAATACTACTCAGCAAGTAGGAGAAATGAAGTCTAGACACATGTTACAATAGGGATGGAGTTGGAAGACATTATGCTGAGTGAAATAAGTAAATCACAAAAGGACAAATATTGTATAACCTCACTTATATTAAAAAAAAATAAGAAAAGACAAATGTATCGAGACCCAAAGTTTATTAGTGGTTATCAGGGGCAAGAGGGAGGGGCAAGAGGGGGTTAACAGTGATGGAAATAGTGCATTGATTAAGGGTAGGGTTGCACAGCTGATTTTTATAATTACTATCAATAAGTTCTACACCTGTAAAAAGTTGAATTGGCAAAAGCTGTGTGATAGATACATTTACAACAACGATAGAAAAATAAAAAGAGTAGCTGCTGAGGCTGTTTATGTACAGCCAAAAACCTCATGGGATTTGGTTCCTTGGTTTGGAGGTTTAGGGTCGTGGTTTCATGGTATATCCCAATTAATTGGCCTAATAACATGTTTAGTGTTTCTGTTCTACGTCCAGCCATAAAGAGAAATGAAGTCCTAATACAGGCTACCACATGGATGAACCTTGAAACATTATGCCGAGTGAAATCCGTCAGACCCAAAAGGACAAATATTACATGATCCCACTTATATGAAATATCTGGAATAGGCAAATGCATAGAGACCAAAGTTTATTAGTGATTACCAGGTGCAGATGGGAAGGGAAAAAGGGAAGACATTGTTTAAGGGGCACTGAACTTCTGTTAAGAGTGATGAAAAAAATGGGAGATAAAGGTGGTGGTTGTACAACATGGTGAATGTAATTAATGTCACTGAATTGTACATGTAAAAATAGTTGAAATGGCAAATGTTTTGTTGTATATATTTTACCACAATAAGCTGTTGTCAATTTTCCCTATAGGAAGAAAATGGAAGGAAGATCAAGCATATATGAAATCCACACTCCAGTTGTTGACAAGAAAAGGAAAAAGAAAAAGAAACAATACTCAGTAGATAAGGAAATACATCAGAAGTGTTCCAGTAAAAGTTTCAAAGATTTCTGCCTGGCAAATGAACAGTCTCAAATAACTAAGAGCAAAAAAAAGAGAAAAGATAAATACTATTTCATTTCTTCTCCTGTGAACAAATCAGAAATTTGTGACCAGACTGAAAAGGCCACTTTGACACTCAAAAAGAAAAAAAAGAAGAGAAGAAGTGCTTTGGGAGTAGACAAGGAAACGGATATTACATATGTCCTTGTGGATAAAGAAAATATTGAGAACACACCAAAGAATTTTAAGAAGGATGTCGATGTCATTTATGTTGATAACAAGGAACAAAAGTCAGCAAAAGAGCCTGAAGCAAATGAACTGCCTTCAAGTCCTAAGTCATATAAAAATGAGTCAGAAGAGCTGCATGATAAAGTTAGGAGAAAAAAGCATAAAAAACGTCAGAGGACAGAAGCATCCTGTGATACCCAGGAAAGCCCACAATTGAGCATTGCCTTGCACCAGTCGGAAACACAGGAGCAGGAATCTTTGCTTTCTGTGGGCCTGCAAGGGGAAATTGCAGAACTCTCAGTATCTGCTGTTAAAAAAAAGTCTAAGAAAAAAAAGAAGAAGATTTCAAATAACCCAGAGTTTGAGGCATTGGCCATGCCTGAGAGTCTTGAGAACTTACGCCCTGAAGGATCGCAGGTGATCAGTGAGATTGATACTGTAGAAGGCAGTGATGCACTTAAAGAGATCAGGGAATCCAACAGTACAAAGACAAAGTCTAAGAAAAGGAAGCGAAGGTCTGTCGAAAGTGCAGTCGAATCTGGTGCTAATTTTTCAGTGCTCGATGAGAGCTCTGAAAATACACGCATAGATCTGGAAGGTGGTGATTCATTGGCAAGTGAGGGTGCCTTGATTGAAGAAATTGTGAAGCCCAGGACAAAAAGGAAGAAAATCCAGTCCTGTTCAGAAGAGAAGTATGTGGAAGAGGTGCAGAGGTAATGTTTGAATGTTACGCCTTCAGATGGTGTACTGCTTTTGCGTGAATTCTGTCCTTGGCCACTTTATTCAGCACGTACATATTAAATGGCAGAAACCAAAGAGATAGACCCTCAAATGTACAGAATAATGTACACATTGAACTCTGTGAACTTGACAGGTAGCTTAATTTCTTCATCTATAAAATAAAGCGGTTAGATTACATTTTCACTAAGAACTTGTAGCCCTGAAATTCTATGAGTAAGTTAAGGCATTTTAAAATCCCAAAATTACCTTTGTCTATATGCATATGGGTAGAAGAAAGGATTAGGTATATAATGGTTAGAATCTCACAGAGCAGCAAAAAAACTTGAATTAGGATTCTCACTAATATAAGAAATTTAAATGTCATTATTTGTATAATTATTTAAATATACTGTCTGATGAGCAAAGACAGAGATTTTTTTAAACCACTTTATCTCATAGTTTCTAGGATTTGAGATTACTTTTCCTGTTTTAACTCACTTTCTTACATTATTAGTCTTGTCCTAAAATAGTTTCATGTAAAAGTTAATGGGAAGAGGCTTCACTTCAGGTGGTACTGATAATAGTTATGGGACCACTCATGTCATCCTCTGTGCTATCTTATCAGGGACATTTTCAGAACACCGATAATGAGTCATGAGTACTCTAGGACTGTGGTTCTTCAGGGCCCTGGTGACACAGTGGTTAAGAGATTGGCTGCTAACCAAAAATTGGCAGTTTGAATCCACAAGCCACTCCTTGGAAACCCTATGGGGCAGTTCTGCTCTGTCCTGTAGGGTCGCTATGAGTCAGAATCGACTCGACGGCAGTGGGTTTGGTTTGGTTTTGGATGGTTCTTCACTTTTATTGGACTGTGGGCTCTCTGAAAGCTGGTGACCCTTTGCTTAGACAAATGCACACAGTATTTTCAGTTCCTAGTCTGACAGGTTAGCCAATGTTTGAACATTCTGAGGAGATTTAGACCTCAGGCACAGAGTTTAAGGGTGAATTAGTGGTGGCATAATGGTTAAGCCCTAAGCTGCTACCAAAAGTGACTCTGTGGGAGAAGAGACCTGGCAATCTGCCACTGTAAAGATGACAGCCAAGGAAACCCTTTGGGGCAGTCCTACTCTTGTCATATAGCATCGCAGTGAGTTGCAATGGACTCAACAGCACACAACAAACAATAACACACAGAAAACTAAGCAAAGGAGAAAAATTATTAACTGCAACAAAAACAGCTGTGACCCCAGCGTCTTATATGGCTCCAGTAAGAATAATAGTGACACAGTCTTGGTAATGCAAAGCCTGAATATTGATTTAACCAATTATTAACCAGTATATTATAAAACTAAACACATTGGGAGGATCTGGGAGAAGTATATGAACATCACTGAGGGTAGAAGAGGGCTTGAGCTTATTAGAAAGTCAGTATCTTTTTTTTAAATTGAGAAATAGTAAATACGCAAAGATTATTTAGAAGATTGGAAATAAAACCAGGGGAAAAGTAGAGAAATAAAAAGTTATAAGTGGTTACTTCTGGAGGGTGACAAGGGATGGGGCATCTGTTTTTCATTGTAGAACTATTTGTTTTTTTGTTATTATTATTGTACTTTAGATAAAGGTTTACAGAACAAACTAGCTTCTCATTAAACGGTTAGTACACATATTGTTTTATGACATTGGTTAGCAACCCCATGACATGTCAATACTCTCCCTTCTTGACCTTGGGTTCCCTATTACCAGCTTTCCTGTCCCCTCCTGCCTTCTAGTCCTTGCCCCTGGGCTCGTGTGCCCCTTTAGACTCGTTTTGTGCTATGGGCCTGTCTAATCTTTGGCTAAAAGGTGAACCTCAGGAGTGACTTCATTACTGAGCTTAAAAGGGTGTCCGGGGGCCATACTCAAGCTTTCTCCAGTCTCTGCCAGGCCAGTAAGTCTGGCCTTTTTTTGAGTTAGAATTTTGTTCTACATTTTTCTCTAGCTTTGTCTGGAACCCTCTGTTGTGATCCCTGTCAGAGCAGTCAGTAGTGGCGTCATCTAGTTATACTGGACTCAGTCTAGTGGAGGCTGTGGTAGTTGTGGTCTGTTAGTCCTTTTGACTAATCTTTCTCTTGTGTCTTTAGTTTTCTTTATTTTCCCTTTCTCCTGAAGGGGTGAGACCAGTGGAGTATCTTAGATGTCACTCACAGGCTTTCAAGACCCCAGATGCTACTCAGCAAAGTAGAATGTAGAACATTTTCTTTATAAACTGTGTTATGCCAATTGAGCTAGATGTTCCCTGAGACCATGGTCCCCACAGCCCTCAGCCCAGTAATTCAGTCCCTCAGGGAATTTGTATTTGTCCATGGAGCTTCCATGAGCTTACCCTGAACAAGTTGTGCTGGCTTCCCCAGTATTGTGTACTGTCTTACCCTTCACCAAAGTTACCAGTTACCTATTGTCTATTTAGTGTTTTTCCACCCCTACCCCTCCCCTCCCTCGTAACCATCAAAGATTCCTTTTGTGTATTAACCTTTTCATGAGTTTTTAATAGTAGTGGTCTCATACAATATTTGTGCTTTTGTGATTGAATTATTCCACTCAATATAATACCCTCCACATTCATCCCATGCTGTGATATGCTTCGAAGATTCGTCATCGTTCCTTGTGGTTGTGTAGTGTTCCATTGTGTGTATGTACCATAGTTTGTTTATCCATTCATCTGCTGATGGGCATCTAGGTTGTTTCCATCTTTTTGCTACTGTGAACAGTGCTGCAATGAACATGATTGTGCATCATGTGATGGCTCTTATTTCTCTAGGAGATATTCCTAGGAGTGAGATTGCTGGATCATATGGTATTTCTATTTTTAGCTTTCTAAGGGAGTGCCATATCGTTTTCCAAAATGGTTGTAACATTTTGCATTCCCACCAGCAGTGCATAACAGTTCCAATCTCCCCGCAGCCTCTCCAACATTTGTTATTTTCTGTTTTTTTTATTTGTGCCAGTAATGCCAGGGTGAGGTGGTATCCCATTGTGGTTTTGATTTGCATTTCTCTAATGGCTAGTGATCCCAAGCATTTCCTCACATATCTGTTAGCCGCTTGAATGTCTTCTTTGGTGAAGTGTCTGATCATTTCCTTTGCCCGTTTTTTAATTGGATTATTTGTCTTTTTGTTGTAGAGGTGTTAGATTTTCCTGTAGATTTTAGAGATTAGACCTTTGTCAGATTTGTCATAGCCAAAAATTCTTTCCCAGTCTGTAGGTTCTCTTTTTACTCTCCTGATGAAGTCTTTTGATGAGCATAAGTTTAATTTTCAGAAGATCCCAGTTATCTAGCTTATCTTTTGGAGTTTGTGTGTTGTTAATTATGGTTTGTATCCTGTTAGTGCCATGTATTAGGGTGTCTAGCATGATTCTATTATTTTTTCTTCTATGATCTTTATAGTTTTTGGTTTTATATTTAGGTCTTTCATCCATTTTGAATTAGTTTTTGTGTAT